CCTAAGGAAATATGAACTCCGTGGGGAGAAGTGTATCTCTCTCCTCTTCCAGCAGCTTCTGGACCATTGGCTAATTTCAACCAGAGGTGACAGAAAGCAAGAGCTTTCAGAGATAGCGAAGTTTCTGCCACTTTCAAGAAAACAGGCACAGATGGCTGTGAGATGGTGGGGGTCCCACGGGACAGGCTTCTGGAGGGCCCCCGGCTTTTAACTAGAGCTCACGGCTTCGTGTAGCCCAAGATCAGGCAGCCCCGGGGACCAAGCCTGCCGGAGGACAGGTTTTCCAGGCACTGGTGTGTGCTGAACTGCCCGTTTGGGTTTGCTGTGAGCTGTCCCTTGAGAGCCAAGCTTGACGTTTCTTTCTAAACAGAAAAAATCTTATGTAGGAATTGGAATGAAGCATGTAGCAATTGTTACCTTTTAATCTCAAAACAACCTTCTTCTAAAAAAATATCCCCAAGCAGCCTTTCATCATAACACTTTTTACGTTGTTGAATCTTTGGACGTTCTGCACAAAAAATGCCATTCTTTCTCAACACTCCAGAGTTTCAACAACAATTCTGATTTTCATTCAAAAAGCATGTATGTTTTGAAGAAGGAGAAACTCTTAAATTTGTGTCCTTTTTCATGCTATTCAAATCGAGACTTACACGTTACAAAGTTAGATGACTGACAAATGAGGAGACCGAGTCCCTGATCTCATAGCTGGGTTTGCACATGTGGAAGCCTTTATTAGCAAAATTACAGTCAAACTTATGGGACGAGAATTAATTTAAAACACTGCCACTTGCAATTCTAAGTATTTAATCACTCAAAAAGGCATTTTCAAATTAAAATGTCTTGAGGTTTCCATTTTTTTGGTCTGTACTGAATACCAGGCCTGTTCTATGACCAAGGAGCAGTAGCCAGTATTTCCAGGAGCGTGTTTTTGGTGTGCATGGTGTAAGTTGGTTTTACCTAGTCAAGATATAGCATAATGCTAATTCAAATGCTATTGAGGTAAAACCTAGATTTATAGTGTTTAGATTAACTTTTAATTGAACTGAGCCAATCAGTTTGCACTTCTGAAGCCCATTTCTTCCCCAGCACGGCCCACGGCAATTCAGAAACAGCACATGGAGCCTCTCAACTATTGATGAGGGTGATAGATGTGAGAGTTGGATTGGAAGGGCCGACACTGACGGTGTGGGTCAGTGTCACAGTAAGCTTTGGTTTTAAACTACCTGGAAAATATAAACCTCTACTCCCAACAGCTTTTATTAAGCCTTTTTTTATTAAAGCCTTTATTAAAAATATAACTGACAGAGCACCCAAATATGCACTGTGTGCTCTGAGCCAGTGGGCAGTGAGATGGCCAGTATCTACTGCAGAACGCTGAGCAGCTCATAGAAATAAGGCCTCCTGACTCTACAGAGAGCACAAAGCATACTTTAAAGAAGGCACATTAACTCTGAAACCTACTGTCAGAAAAAAACTAGGTTTTCATTGCTAATCCAAAGATGCAAAGGCCAGTGTTCGTGTTCATTAGGGATCAGCCTCTGAATTGTCTGTGAGCACTGTGAGGTGGCACAGCTTAGATTGCTCTTTGTTTTCATACTCTCAGGCCTGAGATGGACAAAAAATACTTCTGCCATGAGCCAGAAAAGGGAAAGACAGCCCCGGGCAGGCCTGCTGAGATGCGCTGCAGGTATGACCCTTGGAGGGGCCCCAGCCGGGGTCTCCCTGGTGCCCTCGGTGCAGCGTGGCAGGTCGGATGGCAAGGCAGCACGGCGGCGTGGGGAAGTGAATCTGGTCTGGAGGGAAAGCTTTGCAAGCCTTTCTGCTGATGTACATCCAAATCATGGCTAAACGGCTGTGTGTGCATAGGGAAATACTTGGGCACTGTGGGCAGAGCTTGCTTTGAAACCAAATTTCCAGTTGAAAAAAGAGGGCGGAGGGTGGGGAGGACCTTTCCTGTACCAATTTGAGTAGAAACCTGCACGGCTTTGGTGGTACTCCTAGATCTCACACTTCTGCTGGTTCATGACCCTTTCAGGTGACAATTAACTCTCCTGGAGAGGAGGGTGTTAAATGAAACCCTGTTTTTTTTTTGAAGTTAAATCAATTCTGAAGTCACAGGCTATCTCCAGAGCTGCTGACATGAGACCTGTGTTAACCTGTTTGAAGCCCCAAACAATTTGGAGGCATTGTTTCCCCTTGGACGTAACTGCAAAACCTGCGCAGAGTAAGCAGTCAGGAGTACGCCTCCTGTTTGGGAGCTTCCCAAACATGGAGGAAAGCTCTGGCTATCCACAGCAGTTTCTGCATTGTCCATGGAGGAGATCACCAGGGTTATTTATGCAGAGAAAACAGGAATTTGTTTCCATCAGGTTTTTATCCCTAGATGCAAAATATTCCTGAGCCTATGCTACTTGGGTGTTTAGGGAAAAAATAAGATGTAGTGGGATAAGTTAAACCTGCTGAAATGTCTGCCAGTCACTCAGTGTGCCTCCCCATCACTCCCTCTCCGCCCCATGGTTGTCACAGCATGAGCTTTAATTAATATTGAAGAAAAAAAAGAGAACCTGGAGGAATAATAAGGGCAACTGATGCAAATGAACCGCATGTGCCGTCCTCCCCGCAGCTTTTCTCTCCTCCTGAGGAGCCATAGTCGGATGTGCTCTGCAATTAGTATTTCATTGAAATTATACCTTTTTTTGCTGCAAGATGGTTACAGTTGGTGGTTATTTCTTAATACGGTGTGCAAGGTCTGGGGGTCTGCAGAGATTTCATGTTCATGCAAATGAATGCAAATGATTTTACAATGTCTTGTGGTGTTGCAGTGCTTGTTCCTTCCCTACAAAACAGGGACCACGATGTCCTGCAGAAACCCAGCCTCCTTCCCTACCCTGCCTGACAGAATAGCCACTGGCCCGCGGGGCTCGTAACCCCACTGACCAGGAGGAATGTCATCCACCGTTCATTTTGCAGTTCTGTTTTTGCATGTTTCTGCAAATAGCATGTGTATTCATTTAGGAGAGATGAGCTACTAAAGTGGCTGTGTCTGTGCCTGTAAACACCTGCCTTTTTGTTTTGGCTCTGGCCAATGCCAAAGTGATATTTGGGCCCTTCCTCAGGCAGCCCCAAGCTCTCCCTGGCTGCTGCCCACTCAGCGCGGTCCTGAGATGTCACTGCGCGCTGTGTGCTGTTCGGGGTGGAAGAAGTAGCTAAAGGGAAAGGAGAGCCGTGCGAATCCCTCCTCCATCTATGTCTTGCTTGTTTATCTATGTCTTGCTTTTGCTTGTACCTCCTGGAGCCCAGGTCTGTACAGACAGACTGTGACAGGCTTCTTGCCACCTGAGATCCTTTTAACTCTTGGAGGGGCAAAACGTATGGGACCTACTGAAAAAAAAAAAAAGCAAAAAATGGTGTGCATGAAATCTGGACACATGAAAAGTAGGAGGGAGCTTTTGCAAACAGATCCCGGTGCACGCAGTCCCGGCATGCAGCTGGCCTTAGTCAATTTGGCTTGTGCGGGCATCCACTCTGCTCACGGACCTACAGGTACTTGTGGGTGTGACTTCAGCAATTGGTTTGAAAATCTTGCCAAATATTACATCAGTTTTCAAAGGAAGAATGCTGGGTTGTACTGCACAGGCTGTACCTGGGGCCCAGTTTTTTATCTTGTATATGAGTGTACAGTGGGAACAGCTTAATGTTGAATTTCTGCTCATCTTTGTGTACGTAAATTAAAAATCTGGCTTCTTTCCTATGACCTAGTGTTTTACTTCTCTTACTGTAAAGGTCTTCTGAATGATAACAACTCTCTAGTGATACAAAGCAAACGGTTACAGGAGATTTTGTCAAAATAGTTTCCCTTGTTACTGAAATCTCTTTGTTTGCTGCATCAAGAGGATTTTGTCAGTGTGACGTTTCTGTGGCCTGTAGTCTCAGGATGCATTAGCGTCTCCCACTGCAGAAGCGACTGCTCCTTTCAGAGAATCAGCTCACATTGCCATCTGCCTCTGGTGGGGACTTGTGCCTCACCAAACACCAAGCAGGCTGTCTCTCCAGGCTGTCGAGTACTTGAGAAGTTTTTTTTTCCCGTGAATGTTACGACTATTGAATGTAGACTGGCAGATGAAAGGGATGTATCCTGCTATCTTTAGGCAGCCCTGCTATTTAGTGTCCATTTACAATTTTTTCTGATTTTTTATTATATTTAATATTCATTATTATTTACAGTTTAATGTTAATTTGCTTTCTTCCCATTCTTTTACCTTCTATAGGCTGGGAGCACTCTTGTTTTCTTCCTCCTTTTGTTCTCTTTCAGCACAGGAGAACTATGAAATAAATTCAGTTCCAGACGGTATTTTCCAGTCCTGTATTAACCCTATGGCTTTACATTTGAACCCTGCAGTGTATTTCACACGAAGTAGGTTGGTACTTCTTTTGCACTGCCGTGTCTGTAACCATTTCTGTGCTGCTAACCTTCAGCCTGCAGAAGACATCTCACAGCTCCAGCCACCGTGCAGGAACGTGGCTCGTGGCCACGTGCTTTCCCAGAAGCAGCACCATTGCCCTTCTTGAGCTCTGAGGGCAGCTTTGGCCTGGGAAGTGCTGGGATGGAGGAAGGCAGTAGCATTTCCCTGTTTGCATGTGCAGTGCTCGTGCTGCGGCAGAAGCATGTGACATGGATGCCAAAACAGGCCCTGGCTGTACCGCTCCTCCTCGTTCCGCACAGACCTCGCAAAACATGGTACAAATCCCCACTGAGTGATTCTGGGCAGAGATGTTTTAGCAATTACTGGTAAATTTAATTCAGTCCGTCCACTAGGCTGGTGGCCTGCGTGGATGTTTTTGTTGTGGAATAAAAGTGGCACTTTTTTTTCACTTGTTTTAAACTCGTTTCAGCGTGACATAAGCTAAACCAGAAAAATCCCTGTGTGTCGGAAAAAGAGGTCGGCCCTCAGCATTGCATTGGTGTGACAACAGCAGTTTGAGCTCACACTGTGGCTTACCATTGTTCTGCTCTTCTGTGTAAGCAGATCTTTGAACCAGCTGCAAGACCTGGTCCAGCTCAGCTGCACAGGACTTGACGGTGGTTAGGGGGTTGGCAGTGTTTTCCTCACTCTGGCCATATGATTGCAAACCAAGAGGGGAAGAGAGCAGCCTGAGGGCAAGCTCTGTATCTGTGGAGAAGACGGGGCAAGAATATTAATGCTCCTCTGCCATCTGCGGGCATATCTCAAGGAGGAACAAGAAAGAATGAAGCCTTTGTCCCTCAAAGCTGTTTTTCTTTCCATCTTGCACTCCTACGCTGTTGTCTCTGAATGACCATATTCTTCGCGCTTGTTCCCAGCGATGGAGCGCTCTGCCTGCCATCTCTCTCCCTTCATTTACCTCTTTCTTCCACAGCCTCTGCCATTGCATCAGGGATGCAACCCTTGGAGCAGGACAGGAGAAAAAACTTACCGGAGAGAAGCTAGTGCTTCTTTGCTTTCTTCACCGGCTGAACCTTCCAGGATACATCAGAGATGCATCGTGTACCATCACATTTCTGTTACCTCAAGGGTCTCTCGGGTAAAAAAGCCAGAGAAGCTACCCACAGGCTGTACCTGCAGATCCCAGTCTTCATTAAAATTGATGGTAGTGCTCACATAAAGCCACCCTTTCTTTGGTTTCTGCCTATGTTGGTGCATGGTGGTGTGTGCACCCTCTCTGAGTGCGGTTATGGTGCCCAGGAAGGTGAGCCTGGCGCATAGAAAAGCCAACCCCAGTAGCTTTTGCTCTGTGGCAGTTGCTGTATAATTGCTTCATCTTTGCTCTCATCATTTTGTTGCAGAAAAACAGCTGTGGAGAGCTGGATTTTGTTTCATGCAGCCCCAGACTTTGTAGTGTGTTTCCCTAAGGAAGGGCAGCTCGTGCTATCACATCGTGTGCCTACGCCACTGTGTGCGCATCCTTCGCTGCCCATCCTGAACTGCTTCATCAGTGACTGCTGAACACGTTGGGCAACTCCTACCAAGCCTGCAGAGGGGTACCGATCTCTGAGACCGTATGTTCCTGTGAATTTTAGGAAAGGGCTAAAAATACAGCTAGGCAAAAAATAAGTCTCAAACAGGGAAAGGCAGCAGTTTGAGTACAGCTCAAAGACAGCAAAGACCCTGCTCAGGAGAGAGACGGTGGCCCAGTTGCAGAAAATCTTCCAGTAGGAGCTTATGTTTGTCAGAAGTAACCCCTCAGTCTCTGATCTTTAATGAAGCACTCACACTCCAGCCATACAAAAATCACTCAGCGGCAAGATCTGAATTCAATGAAAACAGGCTGTCTCGGGTTCAGTACTTTGTGTGGGCTTATTTTTCTGTTCATCCCTCAGAAAGAGCCCTTCTGCACCAAGAATTCAGCTTGCCAGACAAGTCAGTGATGTGAGGAGCATCCCTGACAGAAGTTCTGCCTCAGAGCACATCTATTATTCACAGGGTTTGCAGAGTGCAGGGAGCTACAGAAGTCATGTCCTGCCAAGGCACAGAATGTCTCAGAGGCAGACAGAAGGAGCATAACAACATTTTCTTCCAAGGCACATGTGGCCCTAAGCATCTCTAGGGATGCACATTTGGTAGCTGACTGGAAACAGGCTCATTTTATCTCTGCCTGCATAGGAAGCCCCGATTTTTTTTTTTTTTTACCTAAGTAGTCAGGAAAAAAAATAATACATGTTTTCAGCAAGCTAGGACAGGTGCTCATTCCTTCCTTCCCACTTACAGAACCATAATGATGTGGGTAGAGAGGCCTGTGCAGCGGGCGTGCTGCAACAACAGATTGTGAATTGGTGCTATTTGCATGCCGAGGGGCGTCGAAAAATAGTGAGTTACAGGAATAATTGCAGCCAGCACTTGTCACTGATCTAGTTAATCAGGACTGCTTTATACAAAGTGCTCCCCCGTCTTTTCCACCGTACCGAGCATTCAAAAAAATAGTAATGAGTTTGTGGCTAGCGCAAGGGGGATGTGACCACCAGGTGCCACTCTCGCTCCACGGGGAATACAGGGTGGCTGTAAGGCCGGTCATGGTTTGCAGGAAAAGCCAAAACAGGCAGCCATGACTCATTTTGTCCATCTCTGGATTTTCCTACGGCCTATAGCTGGGACAGCAGCCTCTCTTCACCCTGCAGTAAGGAGGACGCTGGAAAACCCCTGACACTGGAAAACCGTGGGTCCCGCTGACCCCCATCTAAGTTTCAGTTTGCCGGCAGTGTTTTTGTGCAGGGAGGGAGGGATGTAGATGGAAAGCTGCTGCTTGGGAAGGCTGTGGCATCTTTCACAGTCTCCTCATTCTGCCGTACATGGGAAAAGTCGGTTCTTCCTCCAGCCTGTGTCCTATCCAGGAGGGACGAACACCCTATGGTGCTATTTAGCACCGAACAGAGATTTTGTAGTTGCTTTAAGCACAATAGTTACCCTTGCAGTTTTGGCCATGGAATTCAAGCCTAAGGTTTCCACAATGTAGCCTCCCTGGTTTTGCTCATCTTCTGGGCACAGTTTTCTGTATCCTAGGGAACAGGGTCCTGGCATTTCCTTGTTCTCATGTTCATTTGTGAATGAGATCAATCCCTTCTGGAGCCACAGCCACTGCCAGACTCTCTGGGGCCCCAAGTACACTTTGGTTTTCTTGGAGGGAAGTAGGCTTTCCTACCAGCTTGCCACCACAAGAGTTGCCCTGAAGGCTGACTGGCGTTACCAGTGGCCCCAGGGGACGGCTCGTGATGGGGTGATCCATCGTGATGGCATTGTGATGGGCTAACCACTCTCATTTTCTGAGACGAAGGGTGTGGGAGGGCACAATTTGCACTTCCACTCTTGATTGTCTGATCTTGGTGATCTGGGCTGATGTCTGAGTGCAGAGGTGTTTGAGAAGCAAAGGGCTTCCATACCTCTAAGGTGCAGGTGGGCAGCATGTGTACTACTCACATGATCCTAAATCACATCAATAAGCTCAATTTTTCGTCTGCTTCTGCTTGCCTTGCTCTCCCATTCCACAGCCCTCCATTCTGTTCTGCCCTTAAATGACTCGTCAGACTTGGCTTTTGATGTAGCCTGTAACATCTCGCTTAAGTTCTCCAATCAGAGCTCTTTCCATTTGAGTTCCCTGTGGACTAAACAAACCTGACATTGCCAGCCTCTGTTTCAGTTGAAGGCCCTCCTTGTTTACTGGTTTATCCTTTATGCTGATTACCTTTTCTTTTCCTAGATCATGAATAAAGATGTTAAATACAAGGTCACTGGGGGCTGCTGATTTCCAAACCCTGGAGCTAGTGATATTTCAAGACCAATTCCATTATGTGATTATGTTTTGCTTACTGGGTTTTCTCAGGGAAATCATTTGTCACAGAACAGCAGGCTCCAGCTTCCTGTAACCCTCTTAAATCAATCCCATGATATCGCAGAAGCCTTATTTTAATATCTTCCTTTGTAATTGTTTAATTGTTTGCTTGAAGAGGCCTTTCTGGTGTATTTAGTAGCAATCGGGTTTTTCAACAGATTACCGTTTTAAAACACAAGAGCTAAAAAAAAAAAAAAATAACAACAAAGCAGCCCCCAGACAAATCCAGATTTCCTGGAAAAATGATGAACTGAAAAATGTGTTGAAAAATGTCAGCCTTGCATTGATGCTGGCCAGCTCTTCGGGGTTCTTCAAGTGGTGAGTGAGGTACTTCATATAGGGCTGATAGAGATGTACAACGTTTGACAGGGTGGAGAGTGGGGAATGCAACACGCTTATTTGAATGTAGGGTGGTTAACCCCATGGAGACTTTTGCAAGTGTATTTTCATGTCCCTGTTCTGATGTGCTCCCTGGAGGAAAGTGGATCAGCTGATCTGCAGAACCGAATTTAATCTGCTGTCTTGTTTTACATGCGTGTCCTGCAGAACCTATGCTTCTGTTAGGACAGGGTGATGTGTTTGTTAAACTCAAAGTGGTATTTCCTGGGAAAAAAGCAGCATAGTCTCAAGGAGTCCAAGTCGCTGGCTTGGGATCTGATGTGAAGCACAGTGGAAGAAGCAAATATCTTGTGCCCTTGCAAACAATTTCCAACTGCAGCAGTTTGTACATGGATGAGAAGCTGCTGCTATTTCTAAAATTTGTACTTTGTTTGGAGGCAGCTGTTATCTGCACATCTGTGCCACAGTGATAAGGACTCTGTCCTGGCTCTGGCAGGTTTTGTTTAGCTAGAACACGTCACTCTTCAGTGGACACTTTCTTTTTTTGTATCTAGTGTCAAAATCCTTCCACAGGCCAGCCTACTGGCGTGTTTCAGTATAGAGAACAGTAATTTATAGATTTGTCTGCACCTGCAGATGGCCCTACATGTTCTGCAGAACAAGTTCTTCCTGCAGGGATAAACACATCCGGGAGTTTAAAATGCAAAGCTATTGCTAGAATAATCACAACGGCCGATCAAAATTTGCACCTTGTTTTCCCCATTTCCCTCCTTTGTTGACAGAAGTGTGCTTGTGCAAATGAGAAAGAAAAGATGTATGATTGTTTTGTGCACCTCTAGCCCAGCTTGCCTCCTTGGAAAGGCTCTTTGCCCATTTCTGAATGAGGAATCAGGTGATCTTCTATAGCCCTGGATCTCCTGCTCCTTTGTAGGCTTCTGATCTCATCTTCCACCCCTGCTCCATGCGCTGACAAGTTGGGTGAGCCAGCCCTGGTATGTGCCATCAGCGTGTTGGTTTTTCACATGGCGTGGTTCCTCGGTGTGGTGAAAGAAAGGCAGTAATGGAAAGAACTGTTAATGGCCCGACTGTCTCAGGGCGGGGGAAATGCAGTATGCCATCACTGGAAAGGCACAGCCAGGGTGTTCTTTCTAGTTCTCATGTTGTACGAAGGTAATACAGGGTTGTCAAAAGTATCTTTTTTGTCCAGGCAAAAATCCAGCTGGGATCACGTCACAGGGAAAAAAACTGTGACTCTAACTCCAGAAAGGACCAACAGGCACTGTCTGCAAAAAAAATAAAATAAAACCTGATGCATTTAAGTGACCAGCTGTGCATCCAATGATGCCTTGGTCTACCTGGTTGAGTGCCTTTCCTAAAGCAGAACTTTCCCTCAAACTATTCTGAATTAATTGCAGTCATTGTCCTTTGCTCTCTTGAGGGCTATATCTATTCCTAGAGCTAATTTAAATTAGCTGTCTCAACTAATTAAAGCATCTTAATTAATGGAAAAGTACTGAGTCTTTATCAGGCACTCCTTGGCTGGAACACAGACTAAGACACCAGAGCTGAGAAGAAGAGAGATGTTTTCTCTTATGCTTTAAATAGCTTGCTGATACGAAGATGTGGTTATAACCAAACTCTCATGAGGATGAAATTGTTTTCCCACAGCTATAACCCAAATCTGGATTGTTGCTCCATTTCCACTCCCACTGAAGCTAGAGTGATGTTACCTGAGGAAAGGCTGGTTTTGTGTGGGATGGCTCGTGGAGCAAGCCAGGGTATAAGCAGGGGAGAGCATGAAAGCAGTATTAACTCCCTGCCCTGTGAGAGGAGCGAGAGGGTGACTCACTGGAATTGGCTGACATCCTCCCCCTCTGCCCTCCCAGCCCTGTGGTCATCAGCTGGGTCAAATATGGCAAGGAGGAGGACAGGAGCAAGCCGTGGTCCTCCCCTGCTCAGACACCTGCCCCAGGCACAGGGTGTGAAGGCCAGTGGTGCCACCCAAATAACGCCACGTGAGCCCCGCAGTTGCATGGGCCAGGCAGTTGAAGCCCCTAGCTGACTTTACACCAGGAATTTCGTACCTGCCTCCTTGTGGAGACAATATTCATGTCTTGCTGTTTCCAGATTCACCAGCTGAATGTGAGAATTTTCTTTGGTCACCGAACTTCCTTCTCTTCAGGTTTCCTGGGGGTTTCTCTGTTCCTGAACGTCTGGTGCTCATTGTTTCTCTGCTGCCCAGGGACATCAGGCTCCCAGCAGAAGTGCGTCTGAGCAGTGATGGATGCGAACACTGGAGCCCCCAGGAGCTCCTTCTGATGATCAACAGCAAAAGAGAGAAGTATAAGTACTCACCAGTCTGACGACTACGATGATACACAGAGGGCACATTAAAACAAGCAAAGTAATTACTATCCAGTCTAATTAGCTCAGAATTTAACCACCCTTGCAATTGAGGAAAAAGACCAGAGTCTGTCTGTTTCTAATTTAAGCAGTACAAAATTTCTCAGTGCGTGTCCTGGAACACCAAATAGGTGAATCTATGTACCTTTTATCTCTCAAATGAGTGACCCTACCATACTTTTAATTCTCCATTCCACCTGTGATTGCGGTAATCCAACGGATCATTTAAAACAATTGGTACTACACAAGAGTGATCATGAAGCCCCTGAAGTCCTAGTTTGTGCAATACTTTCTCCAGCATTCATTTTTTTCTGCTGCCACAGATAAAGAGTTCTCGACCGATCAGGACAGGAGAATCCCATTTCTGTTCCTGCAGTGTTTGCACGAGAGTGCCCCCATCCATTCTGTTTTAGAGAGGGAGAGGGAAGAGAAACGTTCCCCTTGTGACCACTTCGCTGTGCAAACACCATTCCAGATTAGTAATTTTTGGTCCATTAAATCAACAAAGCAGATAATTTCTTCCATTCTTCAAGTCGTTGTGAGCTTCTTTATGCCTGACTCAGACCAGATGCTTCTCTTCTAGTTTACCTTCATTTTTCTTTTGTATATTGGCTAGGACTGGAAAATTATCTGATAGCCAGCTGGTGCTCCACTCAGGTGCGTTAGGCAAGGAGAGTGAGGAATTTCTGAATGGCTGAACACATTGTGTTTTGCAGTATTAGGGACAAGGCCCTGGAAGGCAGGAGCACAACTGCACTAAGGTTTTCTAGGTCCAGCTACTCTTAGGTATAGCTAGGCAAGAGGAGCACATTGGATGAAGCCCAGGAACGTAAGAATACAGGTAAGTTAGAATGCAGATCTGCAGAGTGTAACGGAGGTAGCTAGAGCTGCTCTGAATTAAAAAAAAACACCAGCTGATGAGGGTCATTAATGTAAAGGTCAGAAAGTTGTATGTAGAAGCAGAGTGGACTTTAGCAAAATGTTAAGAAAAATGAGTATAATGAAGAATGAAATCAAGTCAAGGATGATTTAATCCAAGAGAGCTATGTGTGATATGCTGCTTCTTGGTATCTGCTTTTGAGTCTTGGCCATGATTCAAGGTGCCTTGACTTACTGGTAAGTATGTGCCACTTCTGGGGCTGTGTAAAAGAACTTTATCCAAGAGTGCACTCCGTGCCATATGGGTCTTCTAGTGAGAGGATTTCTTTCTCTCACAGACACCTTCATTGTGGTCATGTAGGAGTTCATATTACATTATAAATGGCTACATATCCAAGCTCTGCCTAATGATGCTTCTGACTCTTACCATTTGTCCTTTTCAAGGGAGTAGACATAAAGGAGGAAGAAAGTCCTCAAGGAATACCACATTGCATGGACTGTACGTGTCATTCACACTTATACCTTATATCATAAGGTCAAGAGCTTACCTTGCCTTGGGAGGGCTCCCTGGCAGGGAGATCAAAAGAGACTTTCTTCTCAATCACACTAACTACGGGGTGGCCGTTGCTAGCAGCAGGCCACAGGCTTTCTATTAACATTACAGCTCGGGCCTCTGAGCCTGTCAGGAGTTTAGTGGGTGGTTATGAACCTGTTCAGCTCTAACTGCAAAACATTGCTCAAGAATCAGGAAAGCACCGGGGTGCCACTGCACCATC